GGTGAGAAAGCTCTCTGGTGTCTCTTTGATAGGGCACTTAATCTTATTCATGAGGGTTCCACCCTTATAACCTAATCACCTCCCAAAGGCCCCACTTACTAATACCACACTTTGGGGATTAGGAATTCATAGTAATTTTTGTCATTTTGCATTTTCTCAAAAACAATAGATGTTAAAAATATCTCTTTTGGCCTTTGGGGTGGTCTACTTGAAATGGAATCCTCATAGCACTTTAAATGTGCATGTGTTTTGCAATGTGTATGTGTGAATAAATATAAGCTCTTGAGAGCAGGGATCTTGTCTTGGTGACTTATTCATCTTATTCAGTGTCTAGCTCAGTGTCTGAACTCAGGCGTATAGTAGGTGCTTGATAAATACAGTTTGAACAAATATATACACATGCAAACAATCTTGTTTGTTTTGATAAAGAGAGGATGAATATCTTGGTATAGTATAATTTTACATAGATTGCTTTTCTTTATGCCCTGCCCTTAAATTTACTTTTTTATAATTTAAAAAATATTCTATTTCCCCAAAAACATTTTAAAATTATAAGGACTTCCCTGGTGGTCTAGTGATTAAGAATCTGCCTGCCAATGCAGGGAATAAGGGTTTGATCCCTGGTCCGGGAAGATTCCACATGCCAAGAGGCAACTAAGCCCATGTGCCACAACTACTGAAGCCTGTGCACCCTAGAGCCCGTGCTCTGCAACAAGAGAAGCTACTGCAATGAAAAGCCTGCCCACCACAACTAGAGTAGCCCCTGCTACAGCAACTCGAAAAACCCTGTGTGCAGCAATGAAGACCCAGCATAGTCAAAAATAAAAAATTAAAATTAAAAATAAATAAGATAATGATGAAAAATTCATATTCAGTGTAATAAGATCACATAATACCATAGTATACAAAAAGCAAAAATTTCCCATTTCCAACACTATTCCTCCAGTCCCTACTCATTCTACTGTAATTCACCTCCCCAATTAAACAATTATAGACATTTATTGAGTACTTACTCTTTACCAGGAAGTATTTTTTTTAAGGTTTTAAAAAAACTTTAATTATATTTCCCAGAGTTAACTATTGTTAATGGTTGAGACAATCTTTAGAATTCCATTTGTAAATGGTAAGAAATAGGACTATGTCTTTTGTCTCTTTTTTTTTTTTTTGATTGATTCAAAACTTTTATTTATTTATTTATTTTTCCTCCCGATCCCCCCTCCCACCTCCCTCTCCACACCATCCCTCTGGGTCTTCCCAGTGCACCAGGTCCGAGCACTTGTCTCATGCATCCAACCTGGGCTGGTGATCTGTTTCACCCTAGATAATATACATGTTTCGATGCTGTTCTCTTGAAGCATCCCACCCTCGCCTTCTCCCACAGAGTCCAAAAGTCTGTTCTATACATCTGTGTCTCTTTTTCTGTTTTGCATATAGGGTTATCATTACCATCTTTCTAAAATTCATATTCAGTGTAATAAGTTCACATAATACCATAGTATACAAAAAGCAGAAATTTCCCATTTCCAACACTATTCCTCCAGCCCCTACTCACTCTACTGTAATTCACCTCCCCAATTAAACAATTATAGACATTTATTGAGTACTTACTCTTTACCAGGAAGTATTTTAAGCACTTTTTTATATGTTAAGTAATTCATACCTTGTGTGTGCTATGTGCTCAGTATCTTCAGTCATGTCTGACTCTTTGTGACCCCATGAACTGGAGCCCACCAGGCTCCTCCATTCATGGGATTCTCCAGACAAGAATACTGGACTGAGTTGCCATGCCCGCCTCCAGGGGATCTTCCTGATCCAGGGATTGAACCTGTGGTTTCCTGGGTCTTCTGCATTGCGGGTGGATTCTTTACCCACTAAGCCACCTGAAAGCCCAATTTATACCTTATCAAAACCCGAAGAGGCAGATGTTATCATTATCTTCATTTTACAAAGGGGAAATTTTCACAGGTTGGGTTCCCTGGGAAGCCAACTCAAGAGGAAATTCAGAGTACAGAATGTTCCTTCATTCATTTCAGATACAGTTTGGGCTCAACATGGACTAAGTCCAGTCCACATGCTTTAGAAGACCCCTTGCTGAAAAATCAATAGATTTCACTCAATTAAAGAACCCATCTTTCTTAATTGCAGTCAAGGGTCACTGACTATATTATAGCTTTCTTTTATTCACAGATTTAAAGACAGTCCTTGGGGAGGGCGTTGGCCTTTGAGGTAGGTAGTAACAAGGGAGGTAAACTGGACATTTTGGGTCACCTTGGCCATGCGCTCAGTTCCAAGGATACGCTGGGGGAGAGAAGTCTAGGGGACTTCTCTTAGGACAAGGTTTTTTGAGTAGAGATAGTGGGGCCTTATTTGGGTTGTTTTCTCTACCTTAATTCTGAACACTTTTCAGTAACACTTAGGGAAGCCTCAAGTCTATCTCTCAAGTTCACAACCAGAATAAAGAATTAATGGACTCCAAAAACTTTTGAGAACAGTTTCAAATTATTGTTTCTGATGCTCCCTACCTTATATTCCAAATCCCACAAAGAAATCACTGTGAAGTTGTTCTTTTTATCAGCTGCCCTCAACAGGCATAAAACTGAACTGATCTCCCACACACCCAGTCTCCCAAATGTCCTCTCCAGTTGTATTCCTTATCTCCATGAAGGACCCAATCACCACCAGCTTCCTAAACCAGATCCTGAGTTATTTGTATTTGGGACGTCACCTTTTCCCTTTCCCAACGAATCTTTCAGTTCAGTTCAGTCGCTCAGTTGTGTCCGACTCTTTGCAACCCCATGAATTGCAGCATGCCAGGCCTCCCTGCCCATCACCAACTCCCGGAGTTTACTCAAACTCATGCCCATCGAGTCGGTGATGCCATCCAGCCATCTCATCCTCTGTCGTCCCCTCCTCCTCCTGCCCCCAATCCCTCCCAGCATCAGGGTCTTTTCCAATAAGTCAACTCTTCGCATGAGGTGGCCAAAGTATTGGAGTTTCAGCTTCAGCATCAGTCCTTCCAATGAACACCCAGGACTGATCTCCTTTAGGATGGAATGGTTGGATCTCCTTGCAGTCCAAGGGACTCTCAAGAGTCTTCTCCAACTCCACAATTCAAAAGCATCAAGTTTTCGGTGCTCAGCTTTCTTCACAGTCCAACTCTCACATCCATACACGACCACTGGAAAAACCATAGCTTTGACTAGACAGACCTTTGTTGGCAAAGTAATGTCTCTACTTTTTAATATGCTATCTAGGTTGGTCATAACTTTCCTTCCAAGGAGTAAGCGTCTTTTAATTTCATGGCTGCAATCACCATCCGCAGTGATTTTGGAGCCCCCCAAAATAAAGTCTGACACTGTTTCCACTGTCTCCCCATCTATTTCCCATGAGGTGATGGGACCAGATGCCATGATCTTAGTTTTCTCAATGTTAAGCTTTAAGTCAACTTTTTCACTCTCCTCTTTCACTTTCATCAAGAGGCTTTTTAGTTCCTCTTCACTCTCTGCCATAAGGGTGGTGTCATCTGCATATCTGAGGTTATTAATATTTCTCCCGGCAATCTTGATTCCAGCTTGTGCTTCTTCCAGCCCAGCGTTTCTCATGATGTACTCTACATATAAGTTAAATAAGCAGGGTGACAATAGACAGCCTTGACGTACTCCTTTTCCTTTTTGGAACCAGTCTGTTGTTCCATGTCCAGTTCTAACTGTTGCTTCCTGACCTGCATACAGGTTCCTCAACTAATCATTAACTCCTGGTCATTCTTCCTTCCAAATTATCCAGAAGCCATCCATTTCTCCCCAGTTTCACTGCTTCTTCCTTAGTTCTGGCTTCCCTGGTGGCTCAGGAAGTAAAGAATCTGCCTGCAATGCGGGAGACCTGCATTCAATCCCTGGGTTGGGACGATCCCCTGGAGAAGGAACCGCTACCCACTACAGTACTCTGTTCTGGAGAATTTCGTACATGTATAGCCTATGGGGTCGCAAAGAGTAGGACACGACTCAGGGACTTTCACTTTCCTTAGTTGAGGGCATTATCATCTTTTGCCAAAATGCCTTCAACAGCCTATGTGGTTTTCCTGCCTTAGTCTCCTTCCTTTTTTATTCACTCGCCACACTGCAGCCAGAGTAATTTTTTCGAAAACACAAATCTGATAATGTCGTTTTACAGTTTAGAATCTTTCAATACCGAAGATTTTAAAACTTCCTAATATAGTTTATTAGGGTCTGAATGATTTGGCCGCTGCGTGCCTCCACAGTCTCATCCCCACACACCATGCCCTCTGTTCGGCCATAAAGAACTTTCATGGAGAAGGAAATGGCAACCCACTCCAGAATTCTTGCCTGGAAAAGTCCATGGACAGAGGAGCCTGGCGGGCTGCAGTCCATGGGGTTACATGACTGAGCATGTGTGCATGAGGGTGGAGGGAGATGGGTTGGTAGCAATAAAGTGGTAGAATTAAAAAAAAAAAGAACTTTCAGTTCCCTGGACCCAACTTTTTCTATTATCGCTATGTCTTTGACCAAACGGTTCTCTGCTTGGAATACCCTTCCCTCTACTCTTTTTTTGGGGAAGTCAGATGCATCCTTCAGGTCCCAGATCAGTTGTCACTCGCACAGCCCTGATAGGCAGGCTTCATTCCACAACAGGTGCCCTCAGCGTGGTCCAAACGATTTGTCTTTCAGGCGAGCGGCCCTAAAGGTGCCCTCGAGACTCCATCAGTGTCGGACAGTCGAAAGGCTCCTTAGAGCAGACCCAGATGCCTGCGGCTCCAGTCCAAGACAAGTAGGCAGCATATGAAGCTTCGGGCCCGCAGCAGAGACACACCCAGAGTTTCCAGCTGCCGGCGCTGGGTACAAGACCGCCGTTCACCGCCCGGAACTCAGCCAGGTGTCCCCGCCTCCCACGCTGCGTCGGGGGCGGGGCGGGGCGGGGCTCTGGGCGCCGGCGAACGGCGTGCGACGAGCGGGGGGCGGGGCCAGGGGCGGAGCGGAGCGCGCATGCGCGGTCGCCTTTGTGTGGGTCGAGCAGCAGCAGCGGCGGCGGCGGCGGCGGCGGCGGCGGCGGCGGCAGTGGCGGTCCCACTGGCAGGCGGGCAAGAGGGGAGTCCGGGCGGCGTCCGGCGTGGGAGCCGGGGCACCACGATGGTAAAGAAGCGGAAAGGGCGCGTCGTGATCGACTCAGACACGGAGGACAGCGGCAGCGACGAGAACCTGGATCAGGTTAGGACAGGCCGCGGAGGCGCGCGGGCCAGCGGAGCGGGAGGGCTGAGTCCCGGCCACGGGAGTCGGGAGCCTATCGGGCCCCGGGCCTCCTGGCTGGAGCGCCCGGCCTGCCTCGTGTTCTGAACGCCGCTGCCGCCCCCTCTGTCCTCCCCGCAGTGCCCGCGGCCCTTGGAGTCTGGCCGGGGCCTGGAGACGGAGCCCGGAGGACTTGGCGCCTTGGGCGGGGAGGCGGGGCAGGGGCCAGGCTGGTGGGCCTCGGACTGGGGGAACTGGAGGAATCCTTGGTCTGCCACGGCCAGATCGGGGAGGCAGGCTGCAGGCCAGGCGATCCGGGCACGGAGAGATAGAAAGTATCGCTCGCCAACCCGGGAGATTGGGAGGTTTTGGAGGAGGTGCACGGGTGATCGTGGGGCGGTGCGGGGGGTGGGGGGCGGGAGAGGGAGGCCGAGAAGGTGCAGGCTGTGGAAGATGAAGTTTTTCAGACGAGGATGTGAACAGAGTGGAGGGGAACCTCTCTCTGCTTGGCGAAGAATACTGAGCTGTGGACACGAATCTACTTGGCAGCTAGGGTGGTTTGTGTTTGTTAAGGGTCCCCATTGAGATGTCAGACCCAGGAAAGCTCTTGGGAGGAGGAAAGTGGGCATAAGTGGAGAAATATCTAGGGCTGCATGGAGGGACTGGCGGGCCTCTTGGCCCTTTAAATGCAGCATCCCAGAATTCTTTCTACTTAAAAGATGTTCAGGAGCCATTGAAACTAACTTTAGGTCTCACTGTCTTGGGGTTTGTTGAACTGTTTATATACTCTGGGAGATAATGTAGGGAGGAAGCTGTCCTTTGTAGCAGTGCTCCAGTGATAGCAGAAGATTCAAAGAGAGTTTTCCCCCATCTTTAGTGAACAAATTATATAAAGAAAGGATATGCAAGAGGTAGTTCTGTAAGTTGAGCAGAGAGTACTGAACTTAGAATCTGAAATTTTTGAGTTCTAGACTATGCTGTTATCTAGCTATGTGTCTTTGGCCATAACTGTAAAGTCTAGATAAAACATCAGCCTTGTGTATCTGATTGGGTTATTACAAAGGATTGAGTAGTTGCAAGAATTAATTGGTACAAGCACCTGAGAATTAAAGCTTTTCTACAAATGGCTTCTCGGGAGTCCTCTGTATTAGGTCAGAGGTCTCAGGACTTAAATATTAGGGCATGAAAGGGGAGGACTTTGAGAAAAAGGGACTGGAGAGGTGTTGAAGAAAAGAGGGCTGTTTTGAAAATGGTAGTATGGAGGTAGGAGATGAGGAAGTAGTGGGGCCTATGGAGAAGTATCAGAAGGATAGAAACCTTGTTATGGGATAGAAAGTGAAAGATAAGGTGAAAATGTCCACAGGAAAGACTCCTGAAATAGTAAAAATATATTCTTGATTGTAAACATTTGGCTGATAAGTTTAGACTGGCACTTAGGATTAGAACTTAAAAAACAACTATTTCCTAATTTAAAAATGTAGGTATTTCTGATGATAACTTCAGTTACCATTTACATAGGCCCTGTGGTGAACCAGTCACCTATGTGTTTTGTGTGCTTAGTCGCTCAGTGATGTCCGATTCTTTGAGACCTGTAGAAGGATACTGTAGCCCTGGAGAAGGAAATGGCAGCCCTCTCCAGTATTCTTGCCTGGAGAATCCCATGGACAGAGGAGCTTGGCGGGCTGCAGTCCTTGGGGTCACAAAGAGTTGGTCACGACTAAGCGACTGAGTTTTAGTCCACTGACATCCTCTGTTCGTGGGATTTTTCAGGCAAGAATACTGGAATGGGTTTCCATTTACTTCTTGAGGGGATCTTCCTGACCCAGGTATCAAACCCTCATCTCCGGTGTCTCCTGCATCGCAGGTGATTTCTTTACCCACTGAGCCATCCAGTCACCTCAGCTAAGTGCTTTATTTACAGTTGTCAGGTTTTCAAATTCTGATGAAGTAGGTACCATTTTCCCCATTTTAGATATAAGAAAAATGGAGGTTGAAGGTGTAATTTACCTAGATTCACACAACTTGGTAGTAGAATTTGAACCCAAATCTGTATGACTGCAAGGCCTGTGCTCTTTCCACTATAATCTGGTTTTCATATTGCAAAATGATATTTCATAACCATTTTCTGTGTTACTCGAATGCATGTTTGTAAAGTATATTGAATAGAGGAAATTGATACATCAGTTTAAAAGATGATTTGGGGGGCTTCCTTGGTAAAGCACTCTTAAGACATCTCTTCTGATGATAAATTAACTAAGCTGTAAATTATTCTGTCTTTGATTATTTTCCACAGAAGTCTGACAAATAAAATGAGTAGAGAGCTTCCTTTTGTAGCAGAAAGATTTTTCCTTATCCACAAAAAAGTTTTTTCAAAGTAGAAACTGAAGGGATTACAACTTTAAACCCAACTTTAGCTATTAGTAAAAAGAAATTAGCATAAAATTTGTAAGTAATACCTACATTTTAGCAGCAATTTCAACTTTCTCCTTTGCAACTCATTGGCATTCTTTTATCAGATGGCAACCAGATCAAAATCCCCATTTCCTGTGCATCCTAACAGGCATCAGTGCCTTCTTTCTATTTGTTCAGCCCTGTGCCAGGCTTTCAGAGGAATCAAAAAGTTCTATGCTCTCTAGAAGTTTTCCCAGAGATCTTTAGCAGAAGTTCAAAGTCAGCCTGGTTTTGCAGTCTTTAGGAATCCTCAGAGCAAAGTTAATGCCTTCTGGGCCTTACCTCACCAAGATGCCTTGGTCTCCTCCATCTATTTCTTGGTCTTCATTGGTGGGGTATAGCATCGTATTTGCTGTCTAATGTGCAGGCCTTGTGGAAAAGAACAAACCATGACAAATCTCTGACGAATCTCTGAGTGTCAAGTGTGAGAACGGAGCACAGTTAGTAAGGAGATCCTCTGTCTATGAGTTTTCCAAGTGGGAATCTAAGCCATTACGTCAGAAATATTACCCCCAAATTAGTCTTTACTGCAGATGAGGCAGGTCAGCCTTCTACACTGGTTTTTCCTGGTGGTGAGAGAAAGAACATGTATGTATGAAACTGCTTGGGTTGCTTGTTTAAGATTTACTTTGCAGGGGCTCCCATCCCAGACCTACTGAATCAGAAGACTCACAGGGGACTCTATCCTCTGAGGTAAAATACGGCATTTTACCAGTGATAGTCCAGGTACTTACTTGTATTAAACACTAAGACCACTGTCTGTATGCAAGTTAATCTTTTTCATAAGACCCTGTAAGTAGTTTGGGAGAGAAATACCTTCCTGTCTCAGCCATAGTGTGTGTGCATGTATAACCAAAGGAACTTAACAGAGATGTTTAAGGTGGTAAAGCAGCTGGTTTTTCTAATCTCTGAAGCCATTTGAATTGTTGGGATGCATTTTTTGAGGCCTGTTTATTTTTTCCCTTTCTTCTTGGTGGGAAGAGGTATGTAGTAACTGAATTGGAGTTCTTTGAAATTTGTTTTAACTTTCAAAGGTTTTAAATACTCAGACCTTTGAAGGATTCATTTTAACATCTGACCTGATAGTGACCTTATTTTTTATGTTGGCCACACTTTTTTTTCAACATCTTAGAATTGCGAATCATGGAGTTATTTGCTTTTGGTGCTTCTTGGGAAAAAATAACACAATTTGAGCCAAATCTAGGCTTTTTTACCCCACCATGTACCTCCGTGAAGATAATGTGTCACTCTTTTGAAATAATATTTATGCAGTGGGCCCTGTAATATGAAAAGCATCCAAGACAAGAAAGGAATCAGAAGTTTTCTGTTCAAGTCAATACAACTCAGTGTTTATAAAAAGAACTTTACTCTGCCTATTTCAAGGAAAAAAGAAAAGCTACATGCAGTTATTTTGTAGTTTTCACCCTTATTTAAAATGATGGTAATTGTGTTACCCTGTCCTCTTTGGGCATGCTACTTGAAGTAGCCATAATTAAACATTATTTTTTTAATAGGCCCCTAAGTATTTTGTAGGAATTGTTTTTAGACATTATGTGTTTAAAATATCATTGTTATCAAGTATCCTTCCACAAATCTTTCACATAAAAGTTGGGAAATTTAGAAGTTGTGCTTCTCATTAATACAGTCTTTTTTTTTTTTTTGTCAGTGCCAGGTCTTAGTTATAGCACATGGGATCTTCAATCTTCGTTGAGGCATGCAAACTCTTCTTTGCTGCATGTGAACTCTTAGTTACATGCAGCAGTTCTCTGACCAGGGATCAAACACAGGCCCCCTGCATTGGGATCATGGAGTCTTAGCCACTGGACCGCTAGGGAAGTCCCTAAAGTCTTTTTTCATGAGTCAGGGCAGTTTGAAGTCTAGGATGAACTTGTGAGAAGTGTCAGTGTTAACTTGTGAAGTTTTAAAATTTTTGTGATAATGTTGCATCTGGCCTGATGTAACTCATCTGCCAGTTTCACTTGACTTTCCTTTAGAAATAGTGCTGGGAAGGTTGAGTCCAGTGGGAGCCATAACAGAGAGGCTTTTATGAAAAATTGAAAACCTGCCTTTCAACACCTGTTCTCTTGATGTACTTATTTGCTCCCTTCCTAAGTTCCCCAAAAGGAAAGATTGTTTTTTGTTTTTTTTAATCTTTCAACAAATGTGTTAGACAGTGCTAGACAATAAGGCTATTGGATGAACAAAATGGAAGCAATTTCCACCTTCCAGGAGCTGGGAGTAGGGGAGCACAGAGGGAGGGACAGGTGCTGGAATTGCTCAGAGAGTCATTTCCTTACACTTACGTTACAGGTTAGGAAGGAAGAACAAAGATGCTGTGACAGTTTGACGTGGGACCCAAAGGTCGCCTGATGGGAGTGACATTTAAGTTGAGACCTGGAATATGGGTTAGGGACAAGGAGATGGGTGACTGAAGAGTACAGGGGCATGTGAGTGTTCATGGTTGAGGGACCAAAATGTACAAAACCGTTGAGGCAGGAAGGACCGAGCACCCTCACGAAACTGAAAGAAGC